GGTCTGTCACTGCTGGTGTCCGCCCTTTTCCGCTGGCCATGCAGCATTTCTACGCATTTGTCTCCCAGGTTGCCGTCATTGGTGGTGTCCGGCCCTTGCCATGTAGCATTTCTATTCATTTGTCTCCCAGGTTTGTCACCGCTGGCCCATGTAGCATTTCTATTCATTGTCTCCCAGGCCTGTCACTGCTGGTGTCCGCCCTTTTCCGCAGGCGATGCAACATTGCTGTTCATTCCCCAAACAGTTTGCCGTTACGTAGGGTTTGTCACTTCTTTCTTAAGATGTGTCCGCGCTTTCTGTCACTGCTGGTGTCCGCCCATTTCCGCTGGCCATGCAGCATTTCAATTCGTTTGTCTTTAAAGTGATTTCTTTACTTTTGTCTCCCAGGTTCAGTGCCTGCACTGCTGGTGTCCGTTCTACTTCCCCAAACAGGTTACTGTTAGGGGTTCTAAATGCTTTCTAAGAGTGTCCGCCTTGCTGCCGGACAGCGTGTCCGCCTTCCGTCCGGCTTGTCTCTCTTGGTCTCCCTTCTTGTTGGTCACTGTGTCCGCCTTGTCTCCCTTCTGTTTCCTTTTGTCTCCCTTCTTGTCTCTCTCTTCTGTTTCCGTTTGTCTCCCTCCTTGTTGGTCATTGTGTCCACCTTGTCTCCCTTCTTGTCTCCCATTTGTCTCCGGTCTTGTCTCCCTTCTTGTTGGTCTTGTCTCCCCTCTGTTTCCTTTTTTCTCCGTTCTTGTCTCCCTTCTTGTTGGTCATTGCGTCTGCCTTGTCTCCCTTCTGCCTCCCTTTGTCTCCGGTCTTGTCTCTTTTCTTGCTGGGCACTGTGTCCGTCTTGTCTCCCTTGTTGTCCCCCTTCTTGTTGGTCGTTGTGTCCGCCTTGTCTTCCTTCTTTCCTTTACATATCCTCCTCTCTCCCCCTCTCACTTGCAACCCTTCATATTTGTCTCCCAGCTGCTCTGCCCTGCAATCCCTTACATTTGTCTCCCAGCTCTGGGCTGCGTGTCGCTTGCAATCGTTTACATTTGTCTCCCAGCTCTGGACCCTGCCTTGCAGTCCTTTGTCTCCCAGGTCTGGACGTCGCAAGCTCTAGTTGCAGAGTGTTCCGATTTTGAAAAACACAAGCTGTTTGGGGTCTACGGTGGTGTAATTTATTTTATTGCGTCCGTCCCATGGAATGTTTGCCAATACAAGCTGAAGCATGTTGGACATCATCGTTTTGTGGGTCATCTAGCATGAGGTGTTTTCTTGACCCCGATCGCATGCCACCCGACCGGGGCGAGTAAACCAAGTGGCCAAAAGGTGCAAACGGAGGTGCTTCTGAAACCACCACAGGTCAAGGGGCGCGCACAAGGTGCGCGCACGGTTGGATTCTCCCACTGCGCTAAAAAGGGTTGTGGCCTCTCAACCTCTATTGGAAGAGTCCAACAAACATCCAACAAGTCGTTCGGTATTCATTCTTTACTTGGTTTTCCTTCCTAGTAGTAATTCCAGGAGCTACTACTAGTAGCTTCTTGCTCCAGTAGCGATGCCCTTTGTTACTAGTAGCTTAACCATGGCGAGCTTGGCAAGAGTGTATCCAGATAGTTTTGACAGGTGCGAGAAAGACGATCCCTTCGCCAAGCAAGTTGGAGACTGAGCTGTCTATTGTTAACTTTGATGGGGGATGCTGCATTCACTTAAAGCTTAAGGTGCATTACATATTATGGAATTGTATGGAGGCATTGGGAGACCTCCCAGTACACCAAGAGCCTCAACATGTTTCTTGTGGCAGCTTTTTCCCACGATCGAGCCTCAACAATGCCATGCTTGCCATGCTCACGCCTGGCCTGAGAAAGCACACTCTTGATCGACCAATTTCTGGTCCCGGCAGAGACACCAGCAGCTCGTAGGTATATAGTTCAAAGCAAAGGTTCCAGCAGCTCTGGCGCTCGTTTTGAATGTCAGGCCTTCTCTTGCTGGCGGGTGCAGCTTTACCACAAGCACCTTTGCAGGAACAAGATACCGATAACATGCTCCATGTAGTGTATTGCAATATGGCTGTGAGTCAAAACCTCCAACCAAACCATGGAAGGTTGGCATCCCTCAAAGAGGAATCTGTTCATTTTTGGTGGCCCAGAACTTTTTTGACCCATATGTAGCCCATAGCCCATCAGTCCCATAGCTGTTGCATCGGGATCCCTGTTGGCTGTTGTCCAACTTCTGACCACCGATTCAGACTGACAATAGCTGCCCTGGTGTCGCCACAATCTGCACGTTGGGACGCCCGAAGACCCCTTTGTATTTGTTACGTGCGAACATTCAAAAACATTGAATTGATCTCATGCAGCAATGCGTGATGCCACTCTATCTTGTGTTGCTTCTTGTGCGAACGTTTTTTGGAACAGAGGCCCTAACATCACGCTAACATTAAATTAGTAATATTATATATTATATATAGTTATATTTATATATTTGGAGAGATAGATGATGATAGATTTAATACATATCACGAAAGGTAGCCCTTTAGGGGATACCTTGAGTTTGTCTTGCGAAGCAAGTGTTGGGACGTCCGGGTCTAATAATTGATCGCTCAATTCAGACCCCCCTCCCCCCCCCCTCGAATTGATTTTTCAATACAGACCCACCCCCCCTCCCCCCCTCTAAAATCAATTCTCTCCTGGAGAACGTCTTCGTGAGCCTCTCATGATTTCAGGATAGTTGAAACCCTCTTGAACATTCAGAAGGAGTGAATATGAAATTCTAATCACGAAAGGTGTTCCCCGAGGGGATTGTTTTGTGAAGCACGTCAATTCTCTCCTGGGGAGCGTCTTCGTGAGCCTCTTATGGTTTCAGGATAGTTCAAATCCTATGATGTTCCGATTCAATGCTCACGATGATCTGAGCCATGGGGCAAGTTTGTTTTCCTAAGAATCTTTTTGAACATTTCGAGAGCATATGTTTGAACATTTAGAGTGCATATGAACATATATTTTCCAAAGGTCGCCTCCGAGGGGATAAATCACCATGTCGAACATTGCATTTTTGTTCCTGCCTCTCGCGTTCTCTTCTCTTCCCGCTGTCCTACCTTTCGTGTCTCCCTCCTCTCAAGTTCTTTGGAATAGTCACATTGGCATTTTGCATGGGATACCTGTGCAGCTTGGATTCCTGTCCAGGTGTTTTGTGGATCTTTCTCTGACAAAGTCGCCGCCAGAAGCGCTTCCTTAGCTGCGGGTCAGTGCCGGGGCTGCATTTTGGGATGGCATTCTCACAACATATGCGTTTCAAGATTTTCAAGACCCGCGGGCATCGTCCTGTTCTCCATGTTGAGTGGTGTGACTTTTTCGGACATATCCTTCATCCGTGCCACTTCTGTCTCATCACCTAGTTCACAAGCTATTGCACCACTTTCATGAAGCATTGCATAACTTGTGTGAGCACACGCACTGTTTGATCATAACGCGCGAGAAACACCCTTGAGAACTTGATACAGTACAAACTCAAGCGCATCCATATTAACTTCCATTACTATACTAATACATAATACTACATGGATCTAAATAGCCTATATAGCATTTGACATTACAAACAACATCCATATACTTGGAGCCGTGCGGAGCCCACCTGTTGTTTCTATCAACAGTAAAAACGTCTTTGACATATCCGGCGAGGCTGGAACGAGCCATGGACGTCACAAGGGCCTGGTGAGTTCCTTTTTTCATGATCGGAACGATGCTTTTCTGAGTTGGATTCACGGCCTGTTCATTTCCCTTGAACTCCTCATGAAATGTGTTTGTGTTGGAAAGGGTTACAACATACACACCGACCTATTGTAGCTATCCATTTATGGATCCCCATAGTGCATGCAAAACATAATATTGATTTACAGTAGTTAGCTAGGCTAGTGTGGTTGAGCTGGAGTCTGGGAGGACTTTGCCTCACCACATGTTTCTTTTGCTTGTTTCTGAAAAATACAAAAACAACAACTTTCCAACCGGGGGCACTGCCCTGTTGGTAGCCTATCCATGTTGAAGGATTTGAGAGGTGCGGGATCTCTTCCGTTTATCGAGAGACTCGTCTCTCGGTTACACGGCGTTGTCGAGTCTCTGCCGCAACCTGTTGGCGCAGATGATCTCGGCGTCGAGGCCGCGTGAACTGCCTTCTGGACTGGATTCCCCACTGGATTCGCCTGATGCGCTGCTTCCAGGGCCAGCTGTGGCGGCAGCAGTGGCT